TGTAAAATTACAATTTACTGGAACTCCAGAATTAAAAGTTGACTTTCCATTCAGTTCTTCCACTTTGTTTGATAATGAGGAGTATTACAACCTTTTAGTTATTGAAACAAATGCAAATGATGAAGAACTAGTTCTTCACGGAGCCTAGGAAAATTCATACTCAATAGAGGGAGATTACTGTTGATAAGCTAAAAATGTTTTTGGGTTTCTTGCTTCTCAAATGACATACTCAAATATGATATTCCCATTACTATAACTTACCCTTCTTGCACATTCAAAACACCCACAAACCATGTCAAGATATAACAAATAGACACACATATGCATCACGGTATAGAGTTTAGTTGAAAAAGCATATAAGTACTCTATCTGATATTCTGCATTATTACAATTAGGGATACCAGGAGAATTATAGTTCTCGGCCATGGAAAAGCCTGAGTGCAAAGTCACAGTTGCAAATATACAGATCTCCCATAATCAAAAGACTAAATTACTGAACACCTAACAACAAATGAAAAAGTCTACAGTACTTTTACATGCTGAGTTTGCACTGTTTATTTCAAAACAACCATAAGAAGATCACTATGCTTGTTTTAACATTCTTCCACTACGTGGGCATAGACCAATCGGCAAATGTTAGCATGTATAGCAGTTTTAATAATGGTTGGAGACAGCTTGAATGGGTAATGAAGAAAAACTTTAATATAAGTTTAACATAACAGCAAATGCTTCAATTACATGCTCACGTGATGCAAAAGATCAATGCACAAGTATGATTATTAACTGGATTTTGTTAATGATTAAATAAATAATACAAATTGCAGTGTAAATTACTTATTTTAGAACTTGGAATCCAATGGTAATTTTTTTCCTTATTTAAATTCAACAAAACCCTCTAATACAATGCTTCTAATTGAAAAACAAACAATGGTATCTGGCATGGGTATTGATCTCCAAGGCAGTAATGAATGTGTTATTAAACAATGATTAATCAATTCAATGAATCTTCCGTACTCCCTTTTGTTATAGTGAATTATATTTCAGTATAGGCTCCTTGTGTTTTTTTTGTTAATTTTGCGCAAAGCTAAACGAAGTCTATTTGCACTAGCCGTCCCTAATTTAGCAGTGCAAGACGACAGGGAAGGCAGCTAGTCATCACCACCCACTGCCAACTCTTGGGCTACTCTTTAACCAACGAATAATGGGACTTACCATCACATTATACCCCCCCCCCCCCAGGCTGAAAGGGCAAACATGTTTGGTGGGACAGGGATTCAAACCTGCGACTTGCAGATCATGAGTCAAGCTCCGTTATTATCAATTCCTCTACATCAAGTTAATTTGAAATAATCCAGAATGAAACTATCAAACTCTTATTTTTGGATACTAATATGTTTGTTAATCACAACTATGTTCATTAACACGGATACAACACTGAACAAGTTATCTATTAAAGTAATACGAGGTATTCCCTCAATAATAGTTTTTATTATACAACTGTGGTAGCAAATATTCCAGTATATCTCTTAGCAATTCAATGATATGTTTTACTAGTCTTACTAATCTTTAATACAATTAAAGTTTTCCATATTACTTTCATCATGTGGAATGAACATAATTATTTTGATGATAATTATATTAATTCTTAATGCAAAGATGTAAAACTATTTTCAAGACTGTTGTTCTTTCTCCAATAAAGTTGTTTGCATAGTTATTCATGAATACACATAAATATGGCATATAGCAGACTGTTGTCAAACCAACATAATCTGTTTACAATTAGGGGGTCCCAGAGAATTATAGTACCTGGCCATGAAAGCATGTGAATGGGAAATCTCAGTTGCAAATATATAAATTTCACATAAACAAAATACTAATTATTGTACCCAAAAAAACAAATGAAAACATCTACAGTGCTAACACACACTGAATTTGCATGATATATTTCAAAGCAAATGTACTCTCAGTAGTTGTAAATCCACTTTAAAAACATTGTGATGATTGCTAAGCCTGTCCTCCACCACTTGTCAACAATCAGCAAGAGAAAGTTAAAATCGAAACCAGCATGTTGGTTCAAATTGGCTGCACCAATAAGGATCAGTGATACATGAAACAATAGCTCTCTTCATGTTCTACGTAGGTCTTCATTGGATCCAGAAGCATTTATTACTTGTAAACACAAACGAAACTTTAAAACCATTTAAAATTCATTTTAACCATTTAATTTTTAGAAACAGGGCCATAAAATAAACTTTATATTGTGTAACATACATAATGCATAAACCAATACATAGATATGTCTTATCCAATTCAAACTGACAGCATGTCAAAAAATGATGAATGGGGATTGTAAACAGCCTATGTGTTGGCTTGGCAACAAGTTGCTTTATGTCTCATCATCTAGTGTAAACAGACTATGTTGTCCTGACAACAGTTTGCTATATGTCATATTGTTGGGTATGGCTATGAACAATGTATCAATTACATCATGATGTGACAGAGAAGCGGTAGAGGTTATTACTGAGTTTATAAGTACATAGATAAGCTCATATTTCATTATTAACATATGGTTGTTGACAATTTTCATTTCATTTATCCATATGATATGAATACACATGTATCAGTTTGAAATAGGACGTTAATTCTTTCAACCCGGGCTCAGTCCGTGGGACTGACCTCATAACCATTTTGTGCTTGTTATAGTTTCATGCTATAACTTTTAAATTAGTAAGCGAATGTTAACGAAATTTGCCAGTTTATCAGTAAACAGTACAATGCTTTCATATGCAAAATATCTAATTTTTTTTATTAAGTCTTAAGGTTTTTAAAGCAATGTTTTTCTCGTGCCTTTTTTTTTCTTTTTCACATCTTGCCTATCTATCATGCAAAGTAATTTTCATCTTAGTATTAAAAATATTTCTATGCATCAGAAAATTTCAAAATTTCACATGCAAAATCTTTATAATGTCCAAATAGTTAAACGTATGAAATAGCATAAATTTCATAAGATTATACA